GAAAGAAAATAGCAATCACTTGGACTTCTTAAAGATAAATCTGGTCTGAAAAATACTTTTTTTAATTAAACTTTTAAATTTTCTTATATCATTGTTCATTTTTATACAATATTTTATTTCTTCCCTCAGGTGTAGTCCCCACCACAGCACCCATGAACCATCACCATAGTCCCTTGTGCTCTCCCCTATTTTGACCCATCTCTCTCCTCCACCCCTGCTGTATGCCTCGGGTCTATAGTTTACCTGCAAGTTTCTCTCTCTCGCTCTTTCTTTTTGACCCTTTGTTGAGTTTCCCTATATTCCTCCTAAAAGTGAAACCATCCAATATTTTTTTCCTTCTGACTTATTTCACCAAGCATAATCCCTTCCATGTTGCTATGAATGGTGTGTTTATCTATTTTGATTGCTGAGTAGTAGTCCATTGTGTATATATACCACAAATACTCTGTTAAGTGAATAAAAAGACAAACCAGAGGTTGAAAGGAGCACTTTGCAAAATAGACATCTGATAGAAGACTGGAATCAAAAATATACTAAGGACTCTTAAAACTTAGTAGTAAGAAAACTATCAATCCAATTAAAAAATGAGCAAATAATCTAAACAGACACGTGGCCAACCAACATTATGCAGATGGCAAATAAATACATGAAAAGGTGCTCCACATATGTCCTTACGGAATTGCAAACTGAAGTAAAAAGAACCAAGATAAGTTAGATGGGGAAAAATAGAGCTGTGTCAACAGTGATTGACGGGCACAAATAGTAGACCATGTGCCTGGTATAGGCAAGAAATACGCTGCTGTGGAGGATCATGTGTGTGTATGTGGGAGGCTGGGGACAGAGCTCTAGGAATTTGGGTCTACAATTTAGATTTCAGGAGCAAGTCAGAGTTATGCAGATGCAAATAGAAGCTCTGGGGAGTTCAGTCATAGCTGTTCTCATCTATTACACTGGAATCCATTTTAGGAAGAAGAGGGGGGATAACATTGGTTTATAACATTGTATATGATTTAAAGACACAGGGTCTCCACAATATAAAGGTATAGAATGACGGGGAGCTAGACAGGTGCAGCAAGTTACTATGCTCACACCCACTTACCAAACACCCACTTACCAAACACCCATTTCCCCATAGTGTAAAGTGGGGCATTTCTCAGTTCAATAAATGTTAATCAGTTAAGAGTGCAATTCATTTTGAAAAATGAATTGACAATAAATTGTTCACCAGGTATTTCAAAGTCAAACGGTAAAATCTATCAACTAGTGGAAGAGGCACTCCTTTATCACTAAATAGTTTGGAATGAAGATTCTACCTCCTGCGGAATTATCAGAAGAGCTTGTGCTGGTACGATCTTGCATATATCTGTAAACCAGTATGATAAGAAACTATATTAGAGCAAATCTACATGTAAATTTAAGCACCACAATGACACAGATCTCTTTCTGTTTTGTATTTACTGATTGTCCATGCTTGAAACAAAGTAGAAACTTGTATTTGCTGATTGAGTGAAAGGCACCAGTTTAAAACAGAGAAGTAGTAGTTCAGGGAAGGCACAGAGATTCTCACACACCCACAGGTCCCAGCAAAGCACTGACTCCTTCAAGCCTGGCATTCCTGCAAGAGAATACTGTGAATCAAAGAAAAAAAGCAAATCCACATTTCAGCTAAGGCCATTTTAACAGCACGGTAAAAGTGACCTCCCTCTGAAAATTGACCCCCACTGGCTTCAGAACTGTTTAGTGTCCAGATGTTTTCCCATCACCACCTTTAGTACAGTGATAGTGAAAAATCTAATGGCAAAAAAGCCAATAAAAATTCATAAGAACAAGGTTCCCTTTTCACTTTGGAAATCAGTGATTTTCAACAAATGGGGACATTCCTCAAGACACAACTCAAAGACCATTGCAGATATCTCTTTAGAACACAGAAGAGGACTACTGGGGAGGGTAGCTATAGTGGTGAGAGATTAGATCCCCAAATGGATCCTCCCAGGGACTAAAACTCAGTTAAGGAAAGTCAAAGGGAATGCACTTGAACAGGATGTGAGTGGAGTCACTTCCTACTGCTGCTGTAACAAATTACCAGAGACTTGGTGGGTTTAAACAACAAAGATCTACTCTCCTACAGGCCTGGAGGTGGGAATCAGGAAAAGGGTCTCACTGGTGTACTATCAAGGTGATGGTAGGGTTTCAGTCCCCTGAGGTTCCAGGGAGAATCCCTCCAGCTTCCAGGTCTCTGCCTGCATGCATTGGCCCCTGGCTTCCTTTCATCTTCAAAACCCACACTGGACCGACAAGACTTTCTCTTGCCACTTCACTGAGTCTGACACTTCTGTCCACTCTTCACGTCGAAAGGACCCTCGTGAGTGCATGGGCCAGGAGAATCCAGTGTAGTCATATTTTAAATACAGTTGATTAGCAATTTTAGTTCTATCTGCAGCCTTAATGCTCCTTGGCCAGGTGGCATCACATGTACAGGAGGGGCTCTGGAGAACAACAAAGATCTATTCTGTGTGGACACCTTTGGGGGGCCTTTCTCCTGCCCTCTACAGTGAGGGTGGAATTTCATTGGGGTTTGAAATGGGTAGCAGGGCAAGCGGGCTCTATTGGACCGCAATTGGCCTTAAGACAGTTGCTCTGTTGGCCCCATGGAGTGCACAGAAAGGAGGGCCTCAAGGCTAGAGGAAGGATGTGGGGGTGAAGGAACCAGAGGACACAGACCCACCGGGTTTCTGTTTGGGGAAGTGGAGGCATGATGGGACTTTCTCCAGGGAATGAGTGGGAGAACTAGACAGGGGTGGCAAGTGGCTGTGAGTGAAGCCAGTTCTAGCGCTGCCACCATCCCACATTGTCAGAAAACCTGAGAGCTTGAGTGTGAGGGCAGGGGACAGAGTAAGTGAAGAGGAGGCAGGAGCAGCCCTCCCTGATTGCTGCCTGGGACTTGGCTTTGGGGTGACAGAGGGAGGACTGTATGATCTGGTGCCGGTTCTGAGGGAAAGGCCCTGTTTCTGGGCCCCTGCGGGACCAGGCAATGGCAAAGCTTGCCACCCTTCAGAAAAGGCAAAAACAGTGTGGCCGCTACAGTGGCTCTTGGCACAGAGCAGAGGTCGGTTTCCTGGGCTTGGGGTCTAGGTTGGCCTTCCTTTGGAAGAGGGGGAGTGGTGAGGCCTTCAGGGGAGACCTGGCCACCTTCATCCCCTGGGTGGCCCCAGGAAGCCATGCAAGAATTGGGAGGGGCAGCCCAGAAGCTCAGGGGTATGTGGCCTTCAGTGGGCCCTCCCCTGCAGCCTGGGCCCTGTGTCCTGAGGGCCCCTCCCCCATGAGCATCCAGAAACGCAGGGGAAAGGGGTGCCCAGGGAGCCAAGGGAGGTGGGCAGACCGAGGGCAGTGAGCAGTCTGGGGGCTCAGGGCCACACTGAGGGGCTCCCTGGTATCCATCCGCTGCTCTTCCCCCCACCCCGCAGCCGCTCCCCGTCCCGACGCGGGTCCCACCGGGCTGGGGGCGCCCTGGCTGGCAGCGCCAGCAGAGTAAGGGTGAGGGGCGGGCCGGGGTCGCCGCGGGACGCGGGCGCGGGCGCGTGTCCCCGCCCCTCGGGAGGGGCCAGGTGGGTGTGGGAGGGGGCGTCGAGCCGTGGGCGCCCGGCGTATCCCTCCGCCCCCCTTCCCGACACCCTCGCCGCGCGGTTGCTGCGGCAGCCTGCGCAGCCCCTGCCCAGTGCGCGGCCGCGGCGCGGAGGGGGCGCCTGTGCCAGTGCGAGCGCGGCGAGCGGCGCGGCGGCAGCGAGGCGCGGGCGGAGAGGGGGACCGACGGCCCGGGCGCCGAGCGGCCCAGGCGAGTGGGGCGTCGCGGGGGTGGCGGGCGGCCCCGCCGTGGGCCGTCTGAGCGGCGCGTGGCGCTTTGGCAGACGGACCCGGAGGCGGCGGTGGGAAGCGGTGCCCGCGGGAGGTGCGCGGCGCCGGGGTCCCCTGGCGAGGAGGCGGCGGCGGCCGGCGCGGGTCTGGCTCGGGGCCCCGAGGCTCCCTCGGGCGACCTGACCGGGAGCGGCGTGCGCCGCTGCGCAGCCCGCTGTCCAGGCCCGGGCGCCCGCCCTCGACGGCGTCGGTGCGGGCCGGGGCCCCGGGGGTGGCTGCTGCTGGAGAAAAGGTTCATCGGAGCGGGAGCCGGGTCGGGGGCGCCCGGGCAGGGCGGAGCAGGGCTGCGGTGGATCTGGGGGGTCGGGGCTTCGGGGGGATCGGGAGGGAGTGGGTGCCCGGGTGTTTGTGCCTTTGGTACCCGATTCTGGACTTGGGTCATGGGGCTCCGCGTCCTGGGCGCTGTCCCTTTCCACAGACACCCCCTTGATACCACAGTCTCCTGTCTGCGCCTAGGTCTGGCGCATTCTGACAGCCTGCAGGGTGCTACTGTAGAAGAGAGGCTTGAAGAAAAGAAAGAGTAAGAAAATGGTCAACATTTCTGGAGGTGTGTGGGGAAGGGGTGGCGGGTGGGCAGCAGCTCCTGATGGAGACCTGAATCAGGGTGGGGTGACTGCGACCAGAGCAGGTTAGGTGTCATATTATATTTCCACAAATGCCCCTCTCAGCCAGCTTTCTATTTCCTTCCCTTCCTCCTTTACTTCCACCCAAAATTTGGTGTAGTATAAGAGGAGTATTGGATGTCAGGGTAAAATGGAAGTTATAATTACTAGTATCACTGCACAACCTGTTTTCTAGAACATGCTCGCCCTTCCCCCAATTTATGCTGCGCAAGACAGAGGGATGTGGTACACCTAGTGGTGAATCCTCAGAATTGGAGACAGGAGTGTGACGTCAGGAGAGGAAATTATTATCTGGAATCTTTAAACAGAGAGCCTAAATTAAATGATAATATTCTACCAAAAGGTCCCTACATGTTAAAAAGAGATAACATGAGTATTCCTATCCTTTCTGTCATCTGTTCATCAAGCTCTCAGTTGGCAGCATTATTTCCTGGCTGTCTTACCTTTTCATCTCTTTGTCCATAGGCCTGCTTTAAGACTCCTCACTTCTGCAAGGAAGGAAAGGAAGAGAAGACTGGCTCAGCTCTCTGGAGGTTGGTGTGAAGAGGGGCAGTGCAGGGGGCAGCTGCAGGGTAAGAGCATGCCTGGTGTCTTTGATCCAGGTGGGTCAGGGCCTCCCCCACTTCTCCCAGCCCTGCCAGCTGTGCACGCTGCCTCCGCAGCCCATGTGCGTTTTCTCCAGGCGCTATTAGGAATATTGGGGTAGGTGTTGTTTGAGCTTGCTATGAGTGTGAGGAGGCAGTGTGTGAGCAGGGACTGGGAGGCAGGAAATGCTAGACACGTTGGACCCATAAATGGTAAGAGGTGATATTTGCGTCAGGAATCAGGATACCTGCTTTGCTATCTACTAGTAGTCAGATTTCATTTCCTCCCGTGTGTTTACTTGTCCCTAGGACGGGCTGCCCTCTGCTGTGTGCTTACTACCACCGGAACAAAGAAAGGAGGGGGAAATTGCACCCCATCAGTGCAGGTTGGTATGAGCGTGGGTAGACTTTTGGGTGTGGTAATGGAGGCAAACCCAGGTCCGAGGGTGATTAGGATCTAGTCTGGGGGCTTCTCAACCTCTGCTGTCATCTGCACACTTTCCCACCATCCCCACCCCTGTTATGTAGCCGGCTAGGCAGTGGGGCAGCTCTGGGGTTGCAAGGTGTGGACAAAATGAGGGTGACATACACACTTGCTAATAATGCCACTATTTCACCCAACATTCAAGTCCAGGCCCTGTGTGGGTTCCTGCAAGGGACCACCCGGAAGAGACTCAGAGCCCCATGTCGTTTTCTCCCTAGAGCCACTTCCAGCTGCAGCTCAGTTGATGTTGGACTTGCTGCTGACCCGCCCTCAACAGGTCTGCACCCATTCTGGAACCATCCATCCTCTCTGAGATTGCTTGTGCCTCATCTTCTCTCTGTATTGTTGGCTGAGTTTGGGCTTGAACAGGTGACTGACTGGCTGCTGAAGTGGTGATTGACTCAATTTCTTATTTCCAACTTGAATAATTGAGCAATCCGAAAGTGAAGAACAAAACTGTGATACATCTGTGGTAGAGACTGAGACTGGTATAGGGGTATCCTCTGTAATTTGAACCATGACTGGGGCGGAGATTGAGCCTGGTGCCCAGGCCAAAACTGAAAAGAAGCCTGGAGAAGAGGCAGGAGGTGGGGCTGAGAGAGAGAATGAGGCCCCAATGGTGGTCAGACCCAAGGTTCGGACCCAGGCTCAAGTAATGGCTGGGGCAAGGCCCAAAACTGAATCTAAGACTATGTCTGGGGCAAGGCCCAAAACTGAGGCCCAGGGAAAGACTGGAGCAAGGCCTAAAACTGAGGCCCAGGGAAAGACTGGAGCAAGGCCCAAAAGCGAGGCCCAGACAATGCCTGGGGCAAGACCTAAAACTGAATCCCAGGCAATGTCTGGGGCAAGACCCAAAACTGAGGCCCGGGCAGTAGGTGGAGCTCGTCCTAAGACTGATGGCAAACCAATGCCTGGGGCGAGGCCCAAGGATGAAGCTCAGGCTTGGGCCCAGACTGAGTTTGGGGCTGAAGCCATATCACAGACAGATGGTGATTCCCAGAACAATTCTGTAACCTGGCCACTGGTTAGTTCTGAGTCTGGGTCAATTGCCAAACCTATGGCCCTATCTGTGGATAGAGAACTGGTCAATGTGGATGCTGATACCTTTCCTGGCTCCCAGGTTCAGACAGTAATCCAGCCCTGGTTTGGTTCTGGGGAAGAAGCTAATATGGGGTCTTGGTGCTACCCCAGGTCTAGGACCAGAGAGGAGGCCTCTAATGAGTCTGGATTTTGGTCAGCAGATGAGGCCTCTACGATGTCTTCTTTCTGGGCTGGAGAAGAGGCTAGTATCAGGTCTTGGCCCAGGGAAGAGGCCAATACAAGGTCTCGGCATAGAGCTAAACATCAGCCTAACCCCAGATCCAGACCCAGATCCAAGCAAGATCCTTATGTTGACTCCTGGTCTGGATCTGAGGAAGAGTCTGGCAACCCATTCTGTTTCTGGACTGGAGAAAACACAAATAACTTGTTCAGGCCCAGAGTCAGGGATGAGGCAAATATCAGGCCCAAACTTAGGTCAAAGAGAGAGGACTTCTTTGAATCGGAGTCTGAGGATGAGTACTATAAGGAGTCCTGGTTTCTACCTGGAGAAGAGGCTAATAGTCGATTCAGGCCCAGAGATAAGGAAGCGCCTAATAATATCTTGAAGCCCAGGACCCAGAAGGATGTTAATAAAGGTGATAGGGTCAAACAAAAACCCAGGTTTGAGGAGGAAGTCATTATTGGGTCCTGGTTCTGGGCAGAGAAAGAGACCAGTATGGAGGCTGGGGCTTCAGCCCTCTGTGAATCCAGGCCAGACACTGAAGAGGGGGCCATTGGTGGGTCCTTGTTCTGGAATGAGGAAAATTCCAGTTTGGGGGCTGTGGCCAGAGAAGACACCCGGCCAGAGTCTGAAGAAGAGGCCATATTTGGTTCCTGGTTCTGGGACAGGGATGAGGCCTGCTTTGATCTAAATCCCAGTCCTGTGTACAAGGCTGGTCCCAGGTTCAGAGATTCAGCTGAGGAGGAAATTAATGCTTCATCTAGGCCACAAACCTGGGAAGAGGTCACTGTTGAATTCAAACCTGGTCCTTGTCATGGGGTTGGCTTTCCATCCCCAAACCCCTTTAGAATTCCCGAAGAAGCAGCATCTGTATACACTGAAGTGTTTGAGGAAAAACCCAAGAATGTGGAACCTACCCCAGAAGGGGAGGCGCAGGAATCTTTGCTTCCACCTGATCAGCCTGACCCTGAGTTCCCCTTTCAGTATGATCCATCCTACCGGTCAGTCACAGAAATTCGAGAGCATCTTAGGGCCAAGGAGAGCGCAGAGCCTGCCGATTGGTCCTGCAGCTGCATACAGTGTGAGCTTAAAATTGATTCTGCAGATTTTGAAGAACTCCTTGTATTAATGGACAAAATTCGCGATCCTTTTATTCATGAAATATCTAAAATTGCAATGGGTATGAGAAGTGCTTCTCAATTTACCCGAAATTTTATTCGCGATTCAGGTGTTGTCTCACTTATAGAAACCTTGCTCAATTATCCTGCCTCTAGAGAGAGAACAAGTTTTTTGGAAAACATGATAAACATGGCCCCACCTTATCCCAACCTAAACATGATTGAGACATTCATGTGTCAGGTGTGTGAGGAAACCCTTGCTCATAGTATGGGTTCTGCTGAGCAGCTGCTTGGATTAAGGATGCTGAGACACCTCACTACAACTACTGACTATCACTCACTGGTTGCCAATTTTATGTCTGGGTTTCTCTCCTTATTAACCACAGGCAACGCAACAACAAAGTTTCACGTTCTGAGTATGCTGTTGAATTTGTCTCAAAATGCTAAGGTGATAAAAAAGCTATTTAGTGCCAAAGCTCTATCAATATTTGTGGCTCTTTTTAACATACAAGAGAAAAATGATAATATTCAAATGGTTGTTAAAATGTTTCAGAATATCAGTAATATTATAAAAAGTGGAACAATGGCCTTAATTGATGAGGAGTTCAGTCTTGAGCCACTTACTTGTGCTTTCCATCAATTTGAAAAGTTAGCTGAAGAGCTACAAGTCCAAATAGACAGTCAAAATGATTCTGAGGCAGGACAACCAAGCTAATGTGATTAACTACCTGCCTCTGATCAGCCTTATGTTCCCAAAGAGCCCTGAGTAGTGCTTTGGTGTTCAGAGTCTGGTTTGATGTTGTAACTTACATTTTTAATGCTGATGTTAACTTTGTCCAATTCTTGTTTGAGCTGGATAAATTTGTGGATGCCAAATGAATATTGGAGCTGAAAACGTATTTGTTGATACTTGTCTTGCTGTCCAGATTGCAGTATTTTTTCGTATTGAGCTTCTAAAGAACTGAGTCGCTTGTGTAAGCTACCCTGCTATTCGTTGTTTAAACATATGGTTCTCTATTTGAGTCTGTGTTTTCAATAAAGTTCTATGTGAAAGTTGACAGAAGTCACCCTTCTTCAGTTTATGATCAAGGCTCAGTACATTGTGTGCACTGAAAACATTGATAATCAGTAGGACAAACATACCCTCATTGGAAAATCCCATTTCTGAAGCTTAAGAAGGAAGAGCATACTGTCAACAACTTTAGAAGAGAGACCCACTCAAATGGGTCACAAAACGATAAGATAAGACATTTGTTGTTAAACCGTTCTTGGAAGTGAGCGGCAGTGGTGTGAAGAGAAGTACGTAATTGGAAAATCTGCCCCAATAGCATGGATGTACCCTGTCTGTTTGGAATAGGTGAGAAAAGGTCAGTGAGGATGCAGTTGAAATGAGGTCAGTTTGGAGAGCTAAGTAAGCCAAATCTGCACATCTGCAACTCATAGTACAGGTGTTGCTTCACTGCCACCTGAAAAGAGAGAGAGGATAGCACACCAATTAAATATGAAGAGGGTTACCTTTGTGATCCTGCTCTGAGGAGAGTATTAAGGAAGTACCATGCAGCTATTAAAAAGGTGTATCGGGCCTCTCTGGTGGCGCAGGCAGTTGAACGCCACACTGTGAGGCTGTCTGCGGCCTCTGCAGCGCGTGTTCAATACCGGCAGGCCGGCGAGAATCCCACATGGCATGGCAGACCTCTCTTGTCTCGCCTTCTGCTCCCCTCAGCAGTGTATTTCGTCAGTCTGCCTGTTCTGTTCCCCGCTGTGTCTCTGGTGAATCCTCTCACCCTCCCGCACCTCTGGCCTGTACCCCGGTTCTTGTATAAATAAATAAATCTTTTTTAAAAAGGTGTATAAATTGGCTTGAGATGACACTGATGCTTTTATATTCAATGAAACAAGAAAGGGACACTCGTGGAAATTTAGACCCCATTTTTAAAATGTGTGTAGATAGACAATTTCTATGCAACTTAATGACTTTCTAAGAAACTGTATATCACTTTATCTGGAATAAAATGTGCTAAAATTTCTTTCAGAGACAGTCATTGCGGAGACATAAAAATGAATGACAGGTGTTTTTCTTTCAATATGCTCACATCTATTGCCACAAATTATAGGTGGACATGTTGGAAAGGATAATTATATAAAGGAATGTAAGTGTAAAAAGGAACTTTTAGAGATAAAATCATTTAGGAAAGTTGGAAAAAGTTGGAAAGGAATGAGACCTCAGAAAGACTAGCTTTTAAAATCACTACCTGAAATACTGTAATGTTATCCAGAAAGAACAATAAATCTAACCACTCGAATGTCTAGATTACACACACACACACACACACACACACACACACAAGCGCGTGCACGCGCTTCAAAGAAAATGTCACCATTGTCTCTTGATTGTATAGAGATGACTTTTTTTTTTTTATCTGACTACTCCATTCAAAAGATAACATTTCCTTTCACCGCGTCAACAAAGTTCTGTAGAATGGTGATGCTGCACAACATTATGAAGGTACTTAATGCTACTGAATTTTACACTATAAAATTGTGTCTTATGGTTTTTTTTTTTTGCCACAGTAAGTAAAAATATATACCTTAAGACAGAAGAATTGTAGAACTTAGGGGTCGAGTTAGTTTGGAAAGAGAATGCAGACTTATGGGAAACACGGCTTTTATTTTTGGAGATGGGGAATATGTTATTTCTGTTTTGTCAGGATGCTATTAAGTTTCAAAAAGGTAAAATGACTCGTGTGAATTAGCAGTCAACATGTGAAGGATATTTTCAACACAATGAACAGCTAAGATGAAAGAGTTGAAGGAGATAGTTGTGTATACAGTATACTTAATGTGATCATAAACAAAATATGGGTATATTAAATTTTGTACACAAATGTTAGGATAAAATTACTGGGTTATATACAAAACTGGTTAATATCTTAAGAACAATACATTGTAACCATTGATGTTATTTGTTCCACTGGACATAAATCATTTCCCTAATATTTGGAAAAAATACAAGTTCGCATCACTCTCTGAATTGAAAACTTGCTCTGTCAATAGGAAGTTAAGCCCAGCACTGCACTGAAAGAATATTCAGTAACCTATGTAGTTTTTACAGTTTTGTGTAATTGTCCTAATGTTAGGGGGAAAAAAGGATGTCCCAAAGCAAATTCCATATAGGCTTTGTGGACTCCACCCCCACCCCAGGTCAAAGCCAAAGACACTGGGAACTCCAAATCCGATTCATCACCACCAAAGGGAAGGTGGCTGGGACCTGAGGGTGGGGTTAAGCAGCCAGGTGGATACAAAAGGCAGACACGTGGGCTTTGGGGACTCTCTCCATTTTTGGGCTCTCCGCCAGCTCGCAGCGTCCGGCCAGCTCTGAGAGTGACTTTGGGTTTCCAGGTCGTCGGATCGGGTAGGACGCATTAAAGACTTTATTTCCCTATTTTCTCCCTGAGTTGTACATTTTCCTTATTTCTTTTTCTCTTGTAAATAAACCTTTTATTAACCCTTTTGTGTGTGTCTGTAGTATTCATAAGTCCCTTTAAAGCGCGCGGGTGAGGACCCACAGCCAGGAACCCGTTTAATATCGGGGTTGCTCTATAACACTAACACTGCAACATGCTGTTCCCAACTCCCCCCACCACAAGATTCTAGTAAGCAAAGTTTGTGGAAGTAGGGCAAAGTGGCCGTTTTACCTCCCTTCAAAAACCACTACTGTAACAGAGATCATCCCGATGCTGGGAAGTAGCTTTTGAACATATGATTTGCTTATCAATATTTTCCAAGACCCGCTATGTGTTTTCATATTTGAAATATTATATTTAACATTTAAACAGTAAATATCAATGTATATAATTTATAATATACATTACGGGCTATATAAGTGTATGGCTTGTTGTATATAAATTTATAATTTACATTTGCCATACGAACCAACTACGTAGAATATTAAAACTACTATATATCACTATATAGAACAGAGCAGCGGGAGGCCGCGGGCTGCGGGTGCTGCGGCGGGGCGGCCGCGGGGTCACGTGGACCTACGGCGGGTCACGTGACCCGCCGCTCGGGGCGGGCGCCGAGGTGTGTGGCCCCGCGCACGGACGGGCGGCGCCGGCACCTGGCGACCGGCCGGCTGCCCGGAGAGGAGCGGGGGGAGTTTGGGCGCGGGGATGCGCGGGGAGGCGAGGGGGGAGCGCCTGTCCCTGCCGCCCGCCCCGCAGTGCTCCTCTGCGGCGGCCAGAATTGCGGCGTTTGTTGCCGGAGGAGCCGTCCCTCGGCCAGCGGCGAGCTTGGCGCGGCTCTGTTGGGTCCCGGAGCTCGAGGGGCAGGGAGTCCGCCTGCGGGAGCACCGCGGAGAGAAGCGGCGGCGGCTGTTGCAGGAGGTGGGTGCGAGGCCGGGAAGCGGTGTCCCGGGGCGGTGGTAGCCGAGACTCCATCCTGGGGCAGGAAATGCCTGGAAGCCGCCCGCTCGTCCCGGTTTCCTCGCGCTCCCTCCTTCCTTCTGAACGACCCTTCCCCCACCCCAGACTCTCCTCCCGGCGCCGCAGGACTCGGCGCTGCTTTTGGGGCGGGGGGGATGGGGGCGGAGTGAGGTAGGGGACGTGGACGGAGTGGGGATTGCTGCCCAGGGATGCAAGCGAGGCCTGAACCCCGATCTGGCCAGCCTTAGGGAAGGGGGTGGGACCAGTGGATTTCTCACTGGCATAGCGCCAAGTTTCTTAACCTCCGGGAAGATGCCTGGATCTCCATCCAGGGAGGATCAGCCCTCCTTGTGAGTTTCTCAAAGGGCCTAGGTCCCATTGTTCTGCGACAGCTCCCTCCCTTCAAGGGACCTGAGAATCTCTGCTCCACCTCACTCTTCAGAGGAGAGTCATTCTGGAAACCACCTGCAGAAACTGCTTTATTGCTAATCTCATGTTCCCCTCTGCAGACTCTTCAGTCTTTCTGGTGTTTTGCTCTCCTCTCCTTACTGAGAATTTGTTCCTTTGGTCTCCTCTGAAGTAAAAACCTCATCACTCATACTGTCTTTTTGTATCTGCTCCCTTTCTGGATAAATGTCGTGGGTTATCTCATGTAATAAATATCAGGGCCTGCTCAGATGTCACTTCACCTAAACTATTGCTGCCTGGTGATAAAAATAGAATGGATTTGTCATCTCTCTAGTCATGAATGAAATAATGTATCTTCTTACAGCACAGCTGGACTTAGCACATGGCAACCATCCTTCCCACACCCACTTTCAAAAGAGCAACCTTCAGTGGAATCTCTTCTATGAAATACTAACAGCTTCCCTATGGAGGGTTTCAAGGGCCTGTGCCTGTCCATACAATTCCACCCTTCCATCTCCTGACACATTTTTCCAAGAAAGAGCCAGGACTACAATGAGATGAGGACTCGGTTTAAGAAGGCATTCCCTTTCAAGTATCTTAGGCTAGTCAAGCCTGCCTCCACTTTGCCTGCACTCACACCACACTGGACAACCTGCTGTTTCCCAACCCAGCTATACTGTGTACTTGAATACTTCTTTTTTTTAAAATATTATTTATACAAGAACTGGGGTACAGGCCAGAGGCACGGGAGGGTGAGAGTATTCACCAGAGACAGAGCAGGGAGCAGAACAGGCAGGCGGACCGAAAACACTGCTGAGGGGAGCAGCAGGCACGGCAGTCTGCCACGCCATCTGGTTATCTCCGTAGCTGGCAGGGAATCGAACCCACATTGCAGAGGCTGTGGACAGCTTCACAGCGCTGCGCTCAACCCGCTGTGCCTCCTGGGAGGCCCCTTTGAATACTTTACCTTTCTGCATACTGTTCCCTCAACCTTCATGGTGCTTACAACCCTTTCTATGCCTTTGGGAACCATATTCATGCTTTTCGGTTCAGTTCAAATGCTTGGGCCAGTTTGCTATCTTTCTGATTCCCCTGTCTTTACTCTTTGTCCCTTGGTAGGAAGTAATTCCTCTGTTGTGTATACTTACTCAGTACTTTTTTTGCCCCTACGTTAGCATTTATTTCTTTTTAAAGTGTACTGGAGTCATTTTTTTATTAATAAGAACTATTGTTGAGGGACGGTTATCACAGAGGAAGAAATTTGGGCTCTGGAAGTGTGAATCAAACTTCAGTCTGACCAAAACACCTTATCTTTTACTACTTGTAGTAGTAATTATTATTAATGTTGAGATTTATTAAGTACTCTGTATGTACCAAATACTCTTCCCAGGGTTCTCGATGTAGAACTTATTTAATCGTCACAGCTAACATATGGTAGTTACTGTTGTTGTCTCCATCCTAAGTGTGAAGAAGGTGTGGCATAGAGGGTGAGTAACTTGGCCAACCTCACTAAGTGGGTTAGAAGAGCTGAGCTTCAAAACTTTGTAGTTTGAATCTAGAGCTGGCGTACATCATCACTGATGCACATTTTATTCCTCTGGTGCTAATTATCACTAAAAGCTGCCATCATCACCGTCACTAACTTCATCATCAGAGTTTCTGTTCCTTACACTTTGTAGCAGAGTACTTTATTCTTTATAAAGAAACTTAAACCTAGAGTGTTGTTAGCCTCTGACCCATATCTCCTTCCCCCTGTGTATTAGCCTACTCCAGCTTTTCCTTCCCAATTTAATAATCCCTCATTTTTCCTACTCTCCTACTGTATCCTCTAGCGCCCGCTCCACTGTTATGACAAAATCCCAGCACTGTATAACTCCCAGATACCTACCGCTTTTTATACCCACGTTAGGGAAAATTAACCCAATTCCAATCGTTGATACTATGAATTTATCTTTCTCACCCTCAGTACTATCCCCCAAAATGAAAGTAGATAACTTCTGTTGTTTTTACATTATGGCTATTTCACTAGGGTGTACTTTCATGTAATAATTCTCTGAGTTGCCACTGAGCTTATCTATGAGATCAGTTATTGTAATGTACCTCTGAACCCCCTAGATAAGTCATGGTTTGGGTTTTCTGCCTGAAGCTTTCCTTTTCATTCTGGAGCCAAAGCCAACCACAGTTGTCAGCTCTCTAGCAATCCATGAAGCAAGGTGATCAGCATCCACACATTTCCTTTAACATGGAAACATCCATGTGTTCTGCATCTGGTTTTAAGAGGCAGGTACTCACTGATAAGCAGAAGTCAGGAACTCGTTGAAGAGTTGTTCTGTGCCTGAGCATACATATCATTCTTTTCCATTCTTTTTCTGCCATTCACAAATACCACCTTCTGTGCTAAGGCTGGTAGTGTTATGGCTGCAACTATTCTAGGAATCACGCAACTTTCTAAGAAAGAAAAGGCGTCCATTTTTTCAATGACCTTATGTGTGAGGACGCTTTCCTCAGAATTCCTTGTGTAGTCTCAATGTCTCATTGAGCAGAATTAGATCACAACCCCTTCCTGATGCAAAAAGTACCTAGACCAAGCAGGCTCACCTTGGATGTGGGAATAGCCTCCCTGTGATACCAGACTATAAGAGGAAGGAGAGATACTTCTATAAAAATGGTATTGTTTTAGTAAGGAGTTATGATAAGCAACAGAGTATACAAAGCACTGAGGTTACAGTGAAAAAGAGCATGGTGGTGATGGCATAGCAATTATGACCTCTAAAAGCCACCGGGGAGTTTCCATCTGACCTCTCCTACTTTCCCCATAATATGATGACATCACAATTTTAAAAGAACTACGAAGACCTGACATATGCAGGCCTTGCGGATTATCAGATAGTTTCCTCATTTAGTATACATAGAAATCCTGCAAAATAGTTATTACCAGCCCCTTTGAAGGATGAATTAACCCAGATATAAATGCATTTTGTACCATTTCCAAGGTGACACAAATAATTAGTGGCAAAGGCTATTCAGACTTCAGACTGCCTGGCTCTGAGGTGTGGCTGAGTACCAGACTAGAGCCTGGAGGAGAGAGTCCAGTGCTCTAAAACTGCTCACCGTTAGCTGGCAACTGTGGGTAGCAGTGGTGGTGCTGGTGGGGGTCAAAGAAATGACTTTTGTCTCCTAGAGTTAAGTCATACTTACACAGACCTCACCATGAAGAATTTAGAGTCAGAAGTTTGAATTCTAATCTGTACTTCAGGTTAAGAATTTGGGGGCTGAGATGCCAGATTTAGGGAGCCACATAAATTTTCTGTACCTGGGAGGGGAAAAGTTAGTGTTTAACTAAGTTCTCAGTGGTAATTTTATTCCCATACCTGAAATTTAGCTGAAAAAAGAGGACAAAAGCTATGTTTACTGGTCTTTAGCTCTACTCCATTACCATGCATAGGCCAAACTTCCAGTTCAAATTCAGACATGGAAAGAGCGTGGAAGCCATTGCTCCTGTACTTACAACCAGAAATAAAGATAAACAATAGCATATTGGACCCATCAAAAACTGTAGTCACAGGACAAATGACCATCCCAGAACCTAGAGAAAAGACAAATCTGGAGAATCGCAGTCTGTCTCATCTTACATAGAGCAGAAACTGCAACAAAAACAGGTAAGAATACTTACATGGTAATTTTGATGAATTGCTGGAGACTAAGTGAAATAGTATGCAAGTGAGAAACCCCACTGGGACCTGAAACCTTGGAAGTTTTGAGTTTTACTCCAAGAACCATAGCAGGTTCTTACAGTGAGGAGCCCAGAAATATCCCCTCTTGGCTCAGGCAGTGGGGAAAGTATACTCTTGTGAAATACACACAGAGTCTTCTCCATAACAAAGACCTACTCTCTAGTGGAAAATACTTTTCAGAGCCTTATTCCAGCTGAGGGAAAGGCATTCCTTCTCTCCATCCCACTCTGGCCTTCCACATAAGGGGGAGAAGCTGAGAAACATTAATGACAGTCACAGACTAGGGATACAGGCCCTTCAAAGACTGGAGTTTAGTCATAAGATTACAGAACACTTTTTCTCCACATATTATCACCATGCTAGCAAGTCTCCAGTGTAGCTAAAATTGTTGCAAGACACAAACATTCTCCATGAGAAGTAATTATGGAAGCCCAAAGTTAAGAGGGGAGACAAAAATAACATGAGAGGAATTTGAACACTCTGACACCTATAACCTACAAACATTAAGCACAGCCCAAATGATAATCATCTTAACATAAAACCTCTCACTAAAGGTTTATTTACCCAACACATCAACCAGCTTTTAACATATAAGGCATGCTAAAAGGCAAAAAGCACAGTTTTAGGATAAAAAGTAAGCATCAGAACCAGACTCAGAAATAATGAAGATTTTGGGGTTTTCAGGGCATTTAACTTAAGTATGACTAATATGTCATTGGCTCTAATGGATAAAATAGACAACATAGAGGAACAAAAATACAGAATCAAAAGTAAATACTAGAAATAAAAAATACTGTAACAGAAGATTGAAGAATGCCCTTGATGGGTTCGTAGGTAAAGTGGACATAGCTGAGGAAAGAGTCAGCCAGCTTGAAGATAAATAGAAACTTCCAAACTAAAATGCAAAAAGAATGAACTGTGGAACAATTCCAGAAGGTGCAACAGCATAGTTGAAATACCAGAAGGAAAAGAATGAATCTGGGGCAGAAGAAATATTTAAGTAATAGGCTGAGAATTGTCCAAAATTAATGAGACACCAGACTACAGATACAGGAAATTCAAAGAATACCGAGCTGGATAAATAAAAATGAAAACCACACCTAGGCATATGGTGCAAATTATAAAAATCAAACACAAGGAGAAAACACTGCAAGAAACCAAAGGTGGGATGGATGGGATGACTACAAAAGGACAAGGACAAGAATTAAAGTGTATTTCTCACCAGAAACCATACAAAGAAGAAGCATTAATATTTAAAATATTAAAAAAAGAAAAAAAGACCAACCTAGATTTCTGTGATCATTGAAATCCTTCAAACATGGAGAAATCTTTTGTCAGACAAAACAAGAACTGAAAATACTCATCACATGCAGACCTGCCCTGTAAGAAATGTTAACAAAAGTTCTATAAAGAAAAGGAACAATAGTTAAACAATATTTAAAGCAAACAATTATGTAAAAAAATAAATAATTGAAAAAAAAGGAACAATAGGTTCCTTTTTACAATTACATAAGGAAAGGGAGAGTGTGAGAGCAGGAATAAATGAAGACATAATTCTAGTACTCATCATCCTTGTCCATCTCAGTGTGTTAACAAATATTCTCACAAGTGATACCAAGGTATGGTTTGACCAAGCCAAAAAGGAATTTTTACTCATTCTGAAACCAGTATTTTTTAATATAGTCCACCAAAAGCACTCAAGGATCTTGCCTATAAAATCTGATGTATTTTTATAAGTAAAATGTGAAGAATAAGCCATCAGAATTCTCATACTTGTTTAGAACAAAACCACATAGGCCTAAATCAATTATGCTAATCATATAAATATGTTCTCATTGTAAAACAGTCACACAATATGGGGCTTATTTAGAAAAAAAAAAGGGTAAGTTATTCTTTACTGCACACACTCCATTCTCAGAGATAATCCCTTAGTGGTTTGGTGTGGACACATGCTTTTTATTTAGATATTTATATACATCTATGTACATACACTAACAAAGCATACTTTTTCCAGAGAAAGAATTATGTATTCTATAATTTGCTTTTCCTTCCACTTAACATATCTGGAATTATTTCTACATTGTTATAGCTAGGATAAAATAATGCTGTATATAAAAATATATGTACCATAGTGTAATCTTTTCCTATTGACTGACATTTACTTTATTTACAATTAAGCTATTATGAGCAATGTTGTATTTAAGGAAACCTCCTTGTTTGTATATACCCACAGTCTTATATTAGTGAAAGAAACTCATCAGAATTTGTAGGCTCAATGTTTTTCAGAGTTAAGAGACTATACTATAGTTTTAATACTGTTACCCTTTAAGGATAGTAAAACAAATGTTAAGAATCATTAAAATGATTCATCAAAAAGTGGAGTGAGAAGTAGCTGAAACTCCTATTTCTCTTGCAAATCAAATGTATTAGTGTGTCAAATTGAGGGGTTTCTCCAAAGGGGTACTTCCCTCTTGTTTCCTTTTCTCCCCTGGAAAACTAGAGAGCACATCTTCTGTGTAGTACACTCTGGGCTAAGTCCTGGGGTTATAGACATCAAAGACCTATATGTGGCATTGATCTGCAACCAATAGAGGGTACCATGGAATTCTTGCCCCTCAATGGCACCTCACTTCTTTCAGGTATTCACTAGTTTGTCTTCTATGTGTAGAACTGAGGGACAGGCTGAAAAAAGGGTCCTGTCCTCCCTGGAACTGACAGTCTTAACCCAAAATCTCTCCTCCCACTGCTTGAAAGGAAAAATCAAAAATTTTATGTATACACATTCATTGGGCAGGATATAGCTGGTGACAGAAAAGGAGAAATAGTAGGTAGGCGCTGCTTAAGGAAGTGCCTGGGCAGTGTCCCCTTATTTTAAAGCAATGCAAGAGGAGCCGCCCTCCCTGATTGCTGCCTGGGACTTGGCTTTGGGGTGACAGAGGGAGGACTGTATGATCTGGTGCCGGTTCTGAGGGAAAGGCCCTGTTTCTGGGCCCCTGCGGGGACCAGGCAATGGCAAAGCTTGCCACCCTTCAGAAAAGGCAAAAACAGTGTGGCCGCTACAGTGGCTCTTGGCACAGAGCAGAGGTCGGTTTCCTGGGCTTGGGGTCTAGGTTGGCCTTCCTTTGGAAGAGGGGGAGTGGTGAGGCCTTCAGGGGAGACCTGGCCACCTTCATCCCCTGGGTGGCCCCAGGAAGCCATGCAAGAATTGGGAGGGGCAGCCCAGAAGCTCAGGGGTATGTGGCCTTCAGTGGGCCCTCCCCTGCAGCCTGGGCCCTGTGTCCTGAGGGCCCCTCCCCCATGAGCATCCAGAAACGCAGGGGAAAGGGGTGCCCAGGGAGCCAAGGGAGGTGGGCAGACCGAGGGCAGTGAGCAGTCTGGGGGCTCAGGGCCACACTGAGGGGCTCCCTGGTATCCATCCGCTGCTCTTCCCCCCACCCCGCAGCCGCTCCCGTCCCGACGCGGGTCCCACCGGGCTGGGGGCGCCCTGGCTGGCAGCGCCAGCAGAGTAAGGGTGAGGGGCGGGCCGGGGTCGCCGCGGGGCGCGGGCGCGTGTCCCCGCCCCTCGGGAGGGGCCAGGTGGGTGTGGGAGGGGGCGTCGAGCCGTGGGCGCCCGGCGTATCCCTCCGCCCCCCTTCCCGACACCCTCGCCGCGCGGTTGCTGCGGCAGCCTGCGCAGCCCCTGCCCAGTGCGCGGCCGCGGCGCGGAGGGGGCGCCTGTGCCAGTGCGAGCGCGGCGAGCGGCGCGGCGGCAGCGAGGCGCGGGCGGAGAGGGGGACCGACGGCCCGGGCGCCGAGCGGCCCAGGCGAGTGGGGCGTCGCGGGGGTGGCGGGCGGCCCCGCCGTGGGCCGTCTGAGCGGCGCGTGGCGCTTTGGCAGACGGACCCGGAGGCGGCGGTGGGAAGCGGTGCCCGCGGGAGGTGCGCGGCGCCGGGGTCCCCTGGCGAGGAGGCGGCGGCGGCCGGCGCGGGTCTGGCTCGGGGCCCCGAGGCTCCCTCGGGCGACCTGACCGGGAGCGGCGTGCGCCGCTGCGCAGCCCGCTGTCCAGGCCCGGGCGCCCGCCCTCGACGGCGTCGGTGCGGGCCGGGGCCCCGGGGGTGGCTGCTGCTGGAGAAAAGGTTCATCGGAGCGGGAGCCGGGTCGGGGGCGCCCGGGCAGGGCGGAGCAGGGCTGCGGTGGATCTGGGGGGTCGGGCTTCGGGGGGATCGGGAGGGAGTGGGTGCCCGGGTGTTTGTGGGGGCTCCGCGTCCTGGGCGCTGTCCCTTTCCACAGACACCCCCTTGATACCACAGTCTCCTGTCTGGGCCTACGTCTGGCGCATTTGGCAAAAAGCGACCTGTGCAATTGTAGATTAGGAAGACTCCAGAAAGAATTATTTACCTCCCTATTAAAACGGGGTTGTTTCATTGCCTTTCATATTTAGATTTTGCACCCAACTTAATGCAAGCAGAAGACAGACTGAGACATGTATCTACTTTTACACTATGAGTCCATGTAAAAGGGGGTGGGTGGTGTTTATCCACCTTTCTCACTAAGATTGTCAATATCTCAGCCCACTATACTTTGAGGTGTGGGAGTGGTGGTTCAACATATAGAAAAGAAAGCTTTTTGAATGATCTACTTAAAATGCATGAAATTAGTCTGCGCCTCAAATTGCTGCTTCTGGAAACCCAAGCCCCATCCACCCCTCACAGCCCCTGGTGCAGAAGCAGTCAACGCAGTTTTCATAGACTTCCTTATGGTGGGTACCTGAAGAAAGAACTGTGGCAGCAGAACACATTTATTTAATTTCGAGGGGGTATTAAGACCTGTGTTCTGGGTATCTGTTCATTAACCCGATATATTTTTACCATTGTCAACATATTTTCTTGGTATTTTGCTGAATGCTCCTTCCTTTCTCTGTAGGGTGTAACTTTTCCAGCTAGAGGGCTATTTGCTCGGAAGGATAACATCTCTGAAGGACCCCTGCTGTGTAGGCAGACTGGCACGGCGGTGAATGAGGTAAGATCTATGTATGAGAAGAGGGAGAAGAGCAGGGACATGCGAAGATGGTATTAAAATAATAGTCCCCATTATCTTCCCTACCTGCTTTCTAAATAGTTGGCTGTGTCGTACTTCCCACTCTTGGGTCTCATACTTCTGTTCAGGGAAAGAAGTATAGCATTTCCTGGGGAAATGACTGACTTCAGAGTTGGGAGGAGGTATAATTAGACAAGGTACAGGTCTTAGGAAATTGGGTAGGAAATCATTAGGGAAGAAGAGACAGGTGGGAGCCATTTAACATGGCCTTAAATAAACGAAAGTATGTTATAACCCTTGTCATGGGGCATTGGGCCATCTTAATCACTTCCGTTTTCTCTCTTCTGCCTTTTTGTCTATCCATAGGCTTGTTTCTTTATAAGTTCCTGTTGAAATCTAAGTGTCGCTGTTCACTACAAAAACTGTTGGAATTCTAGGTGAGTATGAGCATGAATGGTTGATTGGGGGTGGGGATTGGCTGTTGGCAGGTGGGTGAGGCCAGATCATCTCTTGGAGCCTTTGTCTTCCAACTCTCCGACACCTCTTCCCTCTCATATGTGTATAGGAAATGGAGGTGGGGTAAGCCAGGATTGTTCCTGTAGGGTAATTGATTGATACTGGGGCAGAAGTGAGGGAAGCCATGAGGAGAACCAAGAAAACCAGAAGTGTGCTCTACCCAGAATTATGTATCTGAAAAGGCAGGTATTGGGTCTGGAGATAATAGTGTATAGCTAGCTACCAAATAATCAAAATTTCAATTTTACCTATATTTTTGTTTATAGATTCTGCCTGTGAGTTGGCTATAGGACTGATCAACACTGACAAGAAGGAAGGAGGAGAAAGTTGCACCCAATCAGTGCAGGTTGGTGTGAGACCTACTTGAATAGACATGTGGAGTGTAGTGATGTGTGCCAAAGGGACCTGGTGCTACTTAGCTTCTTCCACTCTCAGCAAGCTTTCCCATCACCGCTTCTCCTATGTGATCCAGAGAAAGGAATAGGGTAATAAATGCACAGGACTTTGTTGGGCATTAGCGGGAATGTGGGAGGGATTAAAAGAGGTGATGGTATTTTCTATTTCACTCCTACCACACAGTCCAATTCTGTTTTTGCATGCTCTTCTGTGTGATTGTCTGTATAGAGAAGCACAGTTGGAAAAGACTCAAATCCCATTTCCTTCCTCCACTTCAGGTCCATTTCTAGGTGGCTGTGGTGACCTTGGAGTGGCAGAAGGTCATCACCTTCAACAGGTCTGCACTCAGAAGCCATCGTCTTCTCTCAGCCTGGGTGCTTCTGCCCTCTGTGTCACTGACAGAGGCAAGTGTTTGGAAAGGGGTCTGTGTGACTGCTGAACTGACAGTCGACTCTCTGCTCTTGTTACCAAGTTTATCTCTGACAAAGAAAAGGGTGTTAAGACATTGATCAAGACCAAGACTGTACGGTACTATCTGTATAACTGGGTTTCTACCATGGCTGGGTCTAAGAATGGGCGTAGAAACAAGGCCAAAAATGGCAAAAGGTCTGGTGCACAAGCTGAAGGAGAGAAGGCAGCCACTGGTGTAGTTAAATCTGGAGGCAAGAACCGGGCTAAATCAACAGCCAAGTCAGGATCTCAGCCAAAGGCAGGGGCAGAGATGAAGGCAGTATCTAAGAACAGGGTTGTTACTGAGAAGAAGAAAGGGGGCCCAGCAGATACCAGTCCCAAATCTGAGGACGAGGCTACTAAAATGTCCCGGTTTTGCTCTGTGCCTGAGACCCATACTGAGTCCAGGTCCACACGTAAAGAAAAGACTGGTATTGATGCCTGGTTCTGGGCTGGGGAAGACACAAGTGTTGGTTCCTGGTTCTGGAATGGAGAAGAGGCGGGTAATCGGTCCAGTGTTAAGAATGAAGGTAAAGCTAAGGATACTGGTCCCCTGTCCTGTGCTGAGAAGTCGGAACCTGTGGTGGGGGCCAGCTACAAGGCTAAGCCAGGAGCGGAGGAGGAAGAAGAGGAGAATGTTATTGGTAACTGGTTTTGGGATGGAGATGAAACTAGTTTTGATCCTAATCCTAAACCTGTGAGCAGGATAATTAAGCCCCAGCCTGTCGATGAAATTAATGAGAAAAATAGGCCTAAAGACTGGTCTGAGGTAACAATCTGGCCTAAAGCTCCTGCTGTAACTCCAGCAGTGTTAGGATTTAGGTCCCAGATCCCATCTGAGATAAAGCCACCTTCTTATATTGTCCTGGCCTCAGCTGAGGAAAATCCTCATTCTTTGCCTGTAGCAGGAGCAGCAGCAGCAGCAGCAGCACCATCAACATCAACATCAGCGCCAACACCAGCACCAATACCATGCTCTTCTAGGAGCGCTCCCTCTGGTGCTCAGTCTGTCCCTGAGCACCCATTTGGTTCTGACCCTTGCATCCAGACCATAGAGGAGATCAGACGCCAAATCAGGATCAGGGAGGTGAATGGGATTAAGCCATTTGCTTGCCCTTGCAAAATGGAATGCTACATGAATTCAGAGGAATTTGAAAAACTTGTTACCTTACTTAAGTCAACTACTGATCCTCTCATTCATAAAATAGCTCAAATTGCAATGGGCATCATTAATGTCCATCCATTTGCCCAAGAGTTCATTAATGAGGTGGGAGTAGTGACACTTATTGAAAGCTTGCTCAGTTTTCCTTCCTCTGAAATGAGAAAAAAGGCTGTGATTACTCTCAATCCCCCTTCTGGAGATGAAAGACAGCGCAAAGTTGAATTACATGTTAAGCATATGTGTAAGGAAACCATGTCTTTTCCCTTGAACTCACCAGGACAGCAGTCTGGATTAAAGATTCTAGGGCAACTGAGTACTAATTCTAACCATCACCACATTGTTGCCAATTATTTCTCAGAACTTTTCAATTTGCTATCCCAGGGAAATCGTAAAACCAGAAATCTTGTTTTGAAAGTACTTTTGAATATGTCAGAAAATCCGGCTGCAGCCAGAGATATGATCAATACAGAGGCATTAGCAGCATTAAAACTTATCTTTAACCAGAAGGAGGCAAAGGCCAATCTTGTTAGTGCTGTGGCCATATTTATTAACATAAAGGAGCATATCAGAAAGGGCTCAATTGTAGTGGTTGATCACTTGAGTTATAATACGCTCATGGCCATCTTCCGGGAAGTTAAAGTGATTATTGAAACAATGTAAAATGAGCCAGAAATAAGAGAGAACACTTGGATCAATCTCCGAACTCCAGTAAGGTGTCTGTTCCAAAAGCGCTTTGCATAATGTTTTGATTATTACAGTGTGCACATTACAAATTACACCTTTAACACAATATTACCTGTGACAGTTCCTAGGTTTAAATTAGATAATTTTGGAGCTATCAAATGAATATTACATTGTGAGGTGAATGTATTTGTTCACTTTTTACCTTGTGTAGGTTTAGAAGCATTTTAATATTTTACTTTGGAAGATAGTGAACCAGTTCATCAAAAGTAAGCTAACTTGTTCATTAGTACTTGCTTAGATGTTTTGTGGCTTCAAATGGCATAAAAAGAAAATACCCTTGAGCATATATATATATATATTTAATCTAGCTGCAGAAATAAAGCATATGTACACAAAAAGATGACTAATAATGCTTAGATGTATACCTACACACTCACTGCCAGTGGTTCACTCTACATGAAAGAGGCAGACATTGCTGTGTTTAATGAAAAAGGGATTACTGTTTTCCCCCTATTCCACCTGCATCGGTCAACTCATTCTACAACACAACAATGGCCCTGAATCTTAGATAAAATGTATTTCTTATTTTCTTTTGCCACTACATTGATAGCTTAAATTGTGTGGCTATTTTATTTATGTCAGTCTTTTCAAGGAAGAGAAATGTAGTATGTTTATGGAGGAATCGTTTCCTGAGTACCTGCTCTGATGTCACACACTATTGGCACTGTATTTTGCATGTTTTTTTTTTTTTTTCTCTCACAATGATCCTGAGTTAGGTACTGGCATCTTTTTTTAAATTATGACTTGTACTGGGTGCCTCTAGTGAGAACTAGGTAAGTTAAATATTTTCCCGAAATTCACACAGCAAGCAGATGGCATAGCTGTTTTGCCTGACACCAGAACCCACTCTTGAACGTTCCTTCAAGGCTCAGTTTGATTTTAATGATTCTGTTTTGCTGTAGATAATGTCCCTGCTAGGACTTGCAATTCTTAACTTCCTCCAAATGCACATGTCCATTACGTATTTGCTGACTGGGACTTGGGAAAAATCTGGGATGAGTATATGGATTTGATCTGGCAGTATCTGAGAAAGAGTAGGCGCCCCAAACTGTTGACTGAGTGAGAAAGATTTGGAATCATTAGCAAGTGAAACTCACTAATATAGCTTGCCTACCTTTTTCAATCCCAGTGTACTTTTTTTTGGTCAAAGAACTAGAATCATTCTATACATTGTTTCATACAGTACATTTTAAAAGACAATGGCTTTCTCCTTACAAAATCATACCTTGATTTTTTTGACTAATATTTATTCTCCTGTGTCATATGAAAGTCTAAAGGGCTCTACCTTTTACTAGTAGGCTAGCCCACTTTGTGCATTTGTACCAGCTCAAACTGTGCAAGATAAACTAATGGGAGAAATTTAGACCTAGAACTGCAGCTTCATCAACACAGTACAGGAGAATTAGGAGAGAAGCTGCTGCCTCAGACTCTGTGATGGTGATTCTTGGAAGTCCGCTCCATACAGAAAGCATTGCCAGCACTTTAGGGCAATGGCTGTGTTCTCTAAGACTCATGGTAGGAATTACAACACCTGGTCTGAACTGAAGAGAATGTCTAAGTGTGAAAATGCTTTGAGATTTTTAAGAAGTTAAACAAGATCATACCGTAAATATGCGTTGTAACTTGCTTTTCCCCCAGTAACTGTATATTGTGAACATCTTTCTATGTCAATAAATTGGCTTCTACAACATATTTTGAATCACTTACTGCTTTTTCTGGGTTAAAATTTGGTGTATAGTGTCATAATCTTGAAAATGTGCACAGATTTATTACTTTGCAACAATAGGACGATAGTGTTGCAACTTAACTTTTCATCTTTACTCTTACCTTCCCAATTTAGTATTACATGGATCTGCTACACATTTTTTATTTAATAGCTTTATTGAGGTATAATTGATGTACATTAAAGTACATATTTGATAAGTTTTGACATGTATACATACACACATGAAGCTATCACCATAATTAAGAGAGTGAACATATCTATCACCCCCAAAAGTTTCTTCATTGCTCCTTTATAGTCCTGCCCTTCCATTTCTCCCTGTCTTCCCACCCCAGACAACTAAAGATTGGATTTCTGACAACATAGAATCATTTTCTTCTGTAATTTTATGTAAATGGAATCATACAGGATGTACTTTTTTTGGGTGGTGGGTGTCTGTCTTCTTTCAGCAAAATTGAGGTTCATCCTTTTTATTATGTGTATCAATAGTTCTTTGCATTTTATCCAAGTAGTATTCCACTATATATATAGGATTACCACGGTTTCATTTGGGTTATTCCCAGATTTGGACTATATGAATACACTTTGCATTTCTCTTGCATAAGTATCTAGGAATGGGATGGTTGGATCATATACACTAATACACTAATATTTTCTAAAGTGGTTACATTCCCATGTCTTTAATAATACTTGGTATGGTTGTTCTTTTTAATTTTAGCCATATCTCATTGTAGTTCTAATTTACGTTTCTCTGATGACGAATGATGTTAAACATCTTTCCATATGTATATTTGCCATCCATATTTCTCAGGTGATGTATAAATATTTTGGCCCCACCTTTTAATTTTTGTTCATTTATTTTTGAAATAAACAACTTCAAAGTATGTTTGTATAGAGCAGATTAGCCTCTCTATTTTTATTTTTAATTTTTTTTTTAATATTAAATTTTATTTTTATATTCCCCCATACAATTGCAAACGCCCCATTCTGACCCCAATCCTTCCCCTCCCGCCCCCCACCCCCCAAAAAGTGTCTCTGGTTCATAGTTTTTTGTTGATTTTGATTTTCACTTTCTTATATTCATTTTCCTGGTCCCTTATTTAAGTTTTCTAGATTCCTGCTATGAGTGAGACCATCCGGTATTTTTCTTTTTCTTTTTGGCTTATTTCGCTGAGCATGATCCCTTCCAGCGCCATCCATGTTGCTGCAAATTGCATGTGTTTATCTTTTTTGAATGCTGAGTAATATTCCATGGTATATATGTACCACATCTTCTTGATCCAGTCATCTATTTTTGGGCATTTGGGTTGTTTCCAAAGCTTAGCTATTGTAAACAGTGCTGCTATAAACATAGGGGTGCAGGTGCTCTTTGGAATTGATGTTTCTGTGTCCTTTGGGTAAATACCTAGGAGTGGAATTGCTGGATCATATGGAAGCTCTATGTTTAGTAGGTCCAGAAATCTCCACACAGCTCTCCATAGTGGTTGGACCAGTTTGCACTCCCACCAACAGTGCAGAAGAGTTCCTTTTTCTCCACACCCTCGCCAACATTTGTTGTTGCTAGTTTTTTTAATATGTGCCATTCTCACTGGTGTGAGATGGTATCTCATGGTAGTTTTGATTTGTATTTCCCTGATTACAAGTGATGTTGAACATTTTTTCATATGCCTGTTGGCCATTTGCAATTCCTCTTCAGAGAAGTTTCTTTTAGCTCTTCTGCCCATTTTTTGACTGGATTATTTTCTTTGTTGTTGCTGAGTCTCATCAGCTCTTTGCAGATTTTTGTGATCAGTCCTTTATCATTAGTGTTGGGTGCAAAAATGTTCTCCCAGTTGGTGGGGTTTCTCTTTGTTTTTGTTATTGTCTCTTTTGCTGTGCAGAAGCTCTTTAATTTGATGTAGTCCCAGCTGTTTATCTTTGTCTTCACTATCACTGCTTTGGGTGATGTGTCTGTAAAGATGTCTTTGATGTGCAAATCCCGTAGTGTTTCGCCTATATTTCCTTCTATGTATTTTATGGTTTCAGGTCTTATGTCTAGTTCTTTAATCCATTTTGAGTTGATTTTTGTGTATGGTGTGAGGTAGTGGTCAAGCTTCATTCTTTTGCATGTAGCGACCCAGTTTTCCCAGCACCATTTATTGAACAAACTTTCTTTGCTCCAATGCATAGTCTTTGCTCCTTTGTCAAAGATTAGTTGACCATAAATCTGTGGGTTTATTTCTGGATTTTCTATTCGATTCCATTGGTCTGTATGTCTGTTCTTGTTCCAATACCATGCAGTTTTGATGATTATGGCTTTGTAGTATAGTTTGAAGTCTGGGAGTGTGATGCCTCCATTTCCTTCTTTTTTTTTTCAGTAGAGCTTTGGCTATTCGGGTTTTTGGTGATTCCATATGAATTTCATCAATAATTGTTCTATTTCTTTGAAGAATGCCATTGAGATTTTGATTGGAATAGCATTGAATCTGTATATTGCATTTGGTAGGATGGCCATTTTAATAATGTTTATTCTTCCAATCCATGAGCAGGGGATGTCTTTCCATTTCTTTGTGTCTTCTTCTATTTCTTTTAACAGTGTTTTATAGTTTTCTTTGTATAGGTCCTTTACCTCTTTTGTTAGATTTATTCCCAAATATTTGATTTTTTTTGTTTCGATAATAAAAGGGGTGGTTTTTTTGATTTCTTCTTCTTCAGATTTATTGTTTGTATATAGGAAGGCTACTGACTTTTGCGTGTTGATTTTGTATCCTGCCACTTTACTGAATTGATTGATGAGTTGAATTAGTTTTCTGTGGAGATTTTGGGGTTCTCTATGTATATTATCATATCATCTGCAAATAGTGATAGTTTGACTTCTTCTTTTCCTATTTGGATTCCTTGGATGTCTTTCTCTTGTCTTATTGCTCTGGCTAGGACTTCCAGTATTATATTGAAAAGCAGTGGTGAGAGTGGACATCCTTGTCTTGTTCCAGATCTTAATGGAATTGCTTTCAGCTTTTCACCATTGAGAATGATACTGGCTGTTGGCTTGTCATAGATGGCCTTTATGATGTTGAGGTATGTTCCTTGTATCACAAGAATTTCAAGGGCTTTTATCATGAATGGGTGTTGCACTTTGTCGAAAGCTTTCTCAGCATCTATTGATATTATCATATGGTTTTTATATTTCTTTTTGTTGATATGTTGGATAACGTTGATTGATTTTCGGATGTTAAACCATCCTTGTGCCCCTGGAATGAATCCAACTTGGTCGTGGTGAATTATCTTATGGATACATTGTTGGATTCTGATAGCTAAAATTTTATTGAGGATTTTTGCATCAGTGTTCATTAGGGAGATTGGCCTGTAGTTTTCCTTTTTTGTGTTGTCCTTATTCGGTTTTGGTATTAGTGTAATATTGGCTTCATAGAACGTGTTTGGTATTGTCCCTTCCTTCTCAATTTTTTGGAAGAGTTTGTGAAGGATAGGCACTAATTCGTCTCTGAATGTTTGGTAGAATTCATTTGTAAATCCATCAGGCCCTGGGCTTTTGTTTTGGGGAGGTTTTTGATTACCATTTCAATTTCGCTGCTTGTAATTGGTCTGTTTAGGTGTTCTATTTCTTCTTTATCTAGCTTTGGGTGATTGTAGAGTTGTAGGAATTTGTCCATCTCCTCTAGATTGTTGAACTTGTTTCCATATAACTGTTCATAGTAGTTACTGATTATTCTTTTGATTTCTGCTGTGTCCGTTGTGATTTCTCCTCTTTCATTTATGATCCTGTGTATTTGTGCTTTCTCCCTTTTTTCCTTTGTGAGCCTGGCTAGGGGTTTGTCTATTTTATTTATTTTTTCAAAGAACCAGCTCTTGGTTTCATTGATCTTTTGGATTGTTTTTTTAGTTTCAATTTCATTTATTTCTGCTTTGGTTTTTATTATTTCTTTTCTTCTACTGGTTTTGGGTTTTTTTGTTGTTCTTTTTCTAGATCTTTGAGCTTCGAGATTAGGTTGTTTCTTTGAGTTCTTTCTTGTTTTTTGATGTGAGCTTCTATTGCTATATATTTTCCTCTTATTACTGCTTTTGCTGCATCCCATACATTTAGGATATTGGTGTCCTCCTTGTCATTCAATTCAAAGAATTTTTTAATTTCTTCTTTGATCTCCTCGTTAGTCCAGTGGTCTTCCAGTAGTGTGGCTTTTAATCTCCATGAGGTAGGATAGTTCCTTGCCTTCTTTTTATGATTTATTTCTAGTTTGATGCCTTCGTGGTCAGAAAAGATGGTTGGTATGATTTCAATCTTGGTGTATCTGTTGATGTTTGTCTTGTGCCCCAGTATGTGATCGATCCTGGAGAATGATCCGTGTGCGCTTGAGAAAAATGTGTACTCCGTTTTTTTTGGGTTTAGTGTTCTATAGATGTCTGTTAAGCCCAAATGCTCTAGGTCCTTATTTAGAGCTTTAGTTTCTTTACTTATTTTTTGTCTTGTTGATCTATCCATTGTTGATAGTGGTGTGTTGAAGTCTCCCACTACGTATGTGTTTTCTCTGATGTCTGTTTTCAGAGAGGACAACAGTTGTCTGATATATTTTGGTGCTCCTTCGTTTGGTGAGTATATGTTAATGAGTGTTATTTCTTCTTGAAGTATTGTCCCCTTGATCATAATGTAGTGACCATTGGGGTCTCTTTTTATTTTTTTGAGTTTGAAGTCTGTTTTATCTGATATAAGTATAGCTGTTCCTGCTTTCTTTTTTGGTCCATTTGCTTGTAGGATTGTTTTCCATCCTTTGACTTTGAGCCTATTTTTATCTTTTGTAGCTAAATGTGTTTCCTGGAGACAGCAAAAGGTTGGGTTTTGTTTCTTAATCCAGGCTGCAACTCTGTGTCTTTTTATTGAAGAGTTTAGTCCATTTACATTTAGAGTTAATATTGATATGTTAGCATCTGTATTTGCCATTATGTTTGTCTTTCCTTTGATTTTATTTATTCTTTTAATAACTTTTTTTTTTTTTT